AAAAATAAAAAAAAAAAAAAAAACACATCATAGTAAAATTAATACCTTCTCAGCTTCGCATCGAAGCTAAAAATAATGTTTTTATAATTTAATTTGAACTTAAAAAATATATATTATAATTGGTGATAAAAAAATAATAATCAGTGCATAAACTTTGAAGCACATAAAATATAAAGTATAACTTACCAGTTGTGATACAATACAATTTGTGTTCAATATTTTTTCCCCATAAAGGTAAATCATTGCTGGTAAAAACATCTCTGTGAATGGTATCTATTTTAATACTACTTGTAAAAGAAAAACAATGCATACTTTATGCCTGATATACAATAATTAGGTATAATTAAGAAGGTAGTTAGTATTTGAAAATGTCATGAAATTTAAACTTTAATTTAATTGGTTCATTTGAAATTTAATAGAAATTTTAATACTATGATTAAGTACAAATCATACATAATATGTAGTATGTTGATGACCAAAATAAAAAAAGGTAGGAAAATAATAAATTAATTTTCAAATTAAAAAAAATATATAAATAGGTATACCTAAGTATAAAACCAATGGCTAACATGATATTAATTTTAAGATTCAGAAAAATATAATGCATAACTTACCAGTTGAACTAATAAACGATTTATTATTAATTTGAGGTAAATTATTGCCAGTGAAGGTATTTCTTTTGATAGAATCTTTCTTATTACTACCTATAATAAAAAAAGTATTTTATTGTCAATGTTATAAGATGTATCTAGATAGATACACTAATTATCTATTAATTTATGATATGAATATATTAGTTGGTTGAAATATTAGTGCAAATTATCTTACCTTCATCAGTTTTCTCATGTACCGCGACATTTACAATTTTTAATTTTGCCGCTCATGACCGATACATTATTTAAAGTTACATAGAAATATTGAATGTAGCTACGTAATGTAATATAAATAACTGTAAGAGTGATGGATACAGCTAAATCTAAACTTTACACTAAGGTGATATTTCGATAACAATTTGGTTAATTTGGTTATCAAAAACAAGAGCAGACATTTTAAAATAATTTTGTCGCTTACTGCCTTTTGTCTTAGGCAGTATTGTTAAGTTTGTAACATCTATTATTCCACCTATTACCAAACACAATAAGATACGAGGTTCGTATCACACAAACAGGAAAAATTTATGCATTTTTTCTTAATTGTTTTGGAAAAAATTTTTTTAAGTATTAAAAATATTTTTTAAGGTAATTTATATAAAAAAATGAAAGTAATGAATTAATTTTAATTTATTTTTAACGAGACATTCTATTTTGAATTTTTTATAAAGTACTTGATTTAAACAATCATTGTATGTATCATAAACTAACATATAAAATATCATATTAATATTATTATGAATATTTTTTTCAATAAAATTAAAACTCCATGCATTAAAAATTTTTTAACAAATATTAGTCAGTTTATGTATGTAAAAACTCTTATACATGGGTTTTAATGAATACAATCATGTGACTTCAGTAAAATTATATTTCACATAATATAAATACTATCTTATAGGCATTATTTGAAATTAATATAAACCATTTTAATCTTCAAAAACACTGAATATTATAACAATTAAGTTTAAATAATTAAAATAGTTAATTTTTTATTTTATTTTATATTAGATTTTAAGGGCTTATCAATGAAGGTTAGGCTAAAATAATAATTTTTTTTTAAAGGGATATATATAAAATTATATATCAAGAGTTGGTAGCGAAACGTCCGCGGTAGTATCCGGCGGTGAAATGTCCTAAACCTGGGTAAAGTTAGTATTCATTTTTTTCATTTGGTATAATTTGCTGTATTGGAGTATTTGACGGACAATAAATCGGCGACGAGACGATGGAGTTCACAATTATTATATTGAGCTATGACTGACGTATTTATTTACGTAAACTCATGACAAAATAGATAGGTATGTCAGCAATAAACGAGTTTTGGACCGTTTAACGCATCCCGCCCTTCTCACACATAGTAGTGGTTCGCCTTATTTCACTGGCCGTAGGTTTGCCCGCCAAAATACAATTCTTTAAATCAAATACTTGACAGCAACTTTAATATTTTGTATTGTTTTTTATGATACCTTTTACTATTATTGATTGATATCAATCTATTGTGATATCTATACTACAATATAAACAAATATGATCAATTTGCAAATTATTTGATATGAAATGATTATGCCGGGTATATTGAATAAAATGAACAGCGTTTATTTTAACTTGATATACTTACATAATTCTACTTAAATTTATATTTTTATGACAAAATGCCTGTTTGTGAGTTTTTTGATTGTATTAGTGGTAGTAAAAAAAAATCATTGGTAAAAAATAAAAAAGTAACCTTGAATCGATTTCCAAAAGATCCAGTCTTAAGAAAATTCTGAGAAAAACAAATAAGATTAGGTCAAATAACTAAAAAACCAATAAATTTTGATTTTGGTAAAAACAAGTAACTCTTAATTAACATTATCATATTTTTTCAGAATCCTAAATAAATTACACTATTATTTCATCGTTATATTTATATTTAGCTGTTTATTATGAGCTTGTTTAATTTCATTTAGCTGTTGTTTGTTCATTGCATTTTACAAATGATAATTATGCAATTCATTCTAATAATAAGTATAGGAAAGTTTTAAAATAAAATGCTATTCCATAATATAATATTATTTAAATATCATTTATTTTTTAATCATTCATCAATGAAGTGCAATTTTTTATATTACAAAATTGACTTTTTAGAGAAAAATCATGTGATCTTGTTGTTAAGTGTACAGAAAAATACAAATTTAACCTTTTTAAAGACCTTGAAGTTAAACCTCTCGAAGAGAGTTTAAAGAGTGAAATAGAAAATAATATATTATTCCAAGAGTAATACACACATTTATAGTATATTTACAGTGCCGGATGTTGAACTCTAAAAAATTTAGGGGCCTCTAATTTAAAAATGTTATGAAAAAAGTCACAAGTATACAACTATGATAACTCTATAGTTACAAAATTATAGAGTACAAAGTATAATAAAATTAATAGTATATTAATATCTACAGAATAAAGAAAGACTTCAATATAATNAAGTATAATAAAATTAATAGTATATTATTATCTACAGAATAAAGAAAGCCTTCAATATAATAGTAAAAAGTAAAATGTTTAGATGTTCTATTTTAAGAAAAATTTTTTCCTTGACTTTGCATTGGCAAAATTGTTAATTATTATTTCAATATTTAGAGTTTTAGTTCTTTCCTTTTCTATACTTAAAATTGATATACTAGAAAGATAAATACTAAACAATCGAATATCAATCAAACATTTACAATTACCATTCACTATCATTGGGAATAAATTAAATAAACTTTCAAAGTAAAATTCAATACACCATTTGAAAAAACAAAATATACATTTTCAAAGAGTCTGGGCCCCGGTACAAGTGGTGCATTGTACCGACGGTTTATCCGGCACTGTTTATTTATATTCTACTCAATTAATAGTATAATTATACTAAATTTTTATATTTTAAATAATTAGATTACAAAACAAGTGTGAGGATTATGAAAACAAATATTTAAAAATTTTGGATGAAAATAACGTTTTAAAAACAAATTATACTGCTGTAATAAATAAACTTAAATGTTACAATAATTTCATTAATTTGGAAGATCATTGTTTTGAAAATCACTGTAGTGATATTTTACCACAATTCTTTACACCAACTCAGATTCATCTTATTCTTCATAAGAAATATATTTCAGAAGTCTGCATGGTGACAATCTGTCAAAAGCTCCTAAAATTTTTACAACATTAACAAACAAATTAATGTTAAATAATGGAGAGTATAATATACCCAAAGAAGTGGTAGAATGTTTAGTTAGAACAAGAACTTATATAAGGCTAAATAATTTAAATAATCAGTTAATTTGTCAAAAATTAAAGAAACAAAAATTTACTTAATAAATAAATGTATGTAATAAGTAAAATTAAATTACCAAGTAACATTAGGCCAGTTCGCCTTAAAGTACTGTGCTAACAAACCAACCTCTTGGCTTTATAAAAAAGAAAGTAACACTAATGTGAAGCAAATTATATATTAATTAATTCAATGAAAGCATTTCTAAGTATTAAGTATATAATATACTTAATTTTCCATTGTTCCTCTATACGTTACAAATTATTTTTGCACAACATTAAATATTAATGCATAAATGATAATATTATCACTATAATTATGGAAAATGACCATACAAATATTCGGCCAATGAAATGAGGCGAACCAACTATAGATGGGGTGAAGAGTGGGTTGCGTATCACAAAGTTGTTGACATACCTATCTATTTTGTCATGCGTAAACTCTTCTGTGCTTATCATCTAATCAAAGTATTTTTAACGCTTATTATTTAATGATGAATGTTTAAATGAATATGAATAACAAAATTACGGTTTCATTTGAATGGGACATGAACTATATGGCTAGATGCGAGACATAAAGTACTTCAGATTTTATTTTGAACACATTGTTGTCCTTCAGAGTACTATAATAAGGTTCAGCAATACATAAGTGTTATTGTGACATAAAATATTTCAACACATAGGTTTTGAAGATTTTTGTGTGATATATTAAGTATTAAAGACCCCTATATATATACATATATATATTGTATAATTTATTGTTATAGTTGTATAATGCTATAGGTCAAGTACCATACTGGTAATTTTCAATAATTTCTAAGTGGAAATAACACGAAAAAAATAACAGTTTTAATAATTTACAGACAAGCCATATTTAATCTCTTACACACGTTTTCTCAGTCATTCGTCTATGTATTATCCCTTCTTAAACCTGACCAGTTGCCGTTAATCGACGACTTTGCGTTTATTATAATCAACAGCATTATACATTTGACAATGCCCCATCATTTTGTTATCACCGACGGGCTTGACTCCATGTCCTTCTCCGTGTTTAGTAGAATCACTTTAGTATACATGGCGACGTTTTTCACATTAAAATTGTTTGATACATGAACGATGTCACAATTATTCTTTTTAGTCTAAGTGATTTAAGGTAAGTGATTTTTTTAAAATGATTAGATTATTGCGGTTATTTTTTAGAACGCTTTTTATAGAGTAGTTCTTGAAGTCAAATTTTTTTTTTGTTTTTATTACTTTGGCAAACGAGTTAATAATAAAGATTTTTATTAGATGTAAAATTAAGTCAGTCAAAGATGAATCAGTAGTTTCTATTCCTCGAAATTTCTAGTGTATTTAAACATTACATTAATTATATTAAAAATGTTTAAATGCATTATGGCTTAATAACATATCTCGTCCAATTCTCTTGTTATTTTTATAGTTTTTTATTCTTTACAAGAATACAATAATTGTAATTTGTCGGCAAATTTAGCTATATTAATAATTTTTCAGAAAACTTAATGATTTTAAGTTAAGATAAATATTTAAATAAAACTTATATTACCTATAAATATACAGGTGGCTCAGCATTCACTAACAACTTAAATATCTTTTGATCCAGTTATTATTTTTTTTTTATAGTTAATATACTTTAGGGCTATAATAATAATTTAATTAATGTCATTTTTATAATTAAATTTAAAAAAATGTTACTTTAAAAATTTACAAAAAATGTTTAAAAAAATTTAAAAATAGCCATTTTCTAGAATAGATTTTAAACAATAATTTGCTGAAAAAAATTCTGATTGATGTTTGATAGTTAATTTTCTGTGACATTTTAAATTTCGTAAAAATTTGAATTTTTATCTATTTTACGATATCAAACGATGGCTATGTTATATGAAAAAAGAGCAGAAATAAATACTATCTTTTTACACTAAATATGATATGAATATGGATTTTTCCATGAAAATTATTAACCTTCCAATGACTGGCTTTAGTTCAAATATAAACAAGAACAATACATATTATTTAATAAGTAGTTTTATCTCTTAAGACATAAAACTACTTATCTTACTTTTCTTCAGTCCTTGTCTCAAAACGTATTTCAATGTTTAATACCGTAAAATAACACATGAAAATTCAAATTTTTACAAACTTTAGAATGATACAGACTATTTACTATTGAATATTAATAAGATATTTTTTTAACAACATTTTTCTTAAAATCTACTCTACAAAATAGTTATTTTGGATCTTGTTTTTACATTTTATTTAAAATTTAAGTAATAATTAATATTTTTAATAAAATATAAATTATTGAGATATAATTATAACGATGTAACGTTAACTA